TCCGTCAGTTACTGAGAAAGACGGGGTACCTACAGGGCCTCACGCGAGAATACATTAGTTCGTTACTGGAAATTTCAAAAGGAAACATTTCTTACTCTTAAGTCCACAAATAGTTAAGCACTCTTAAAATGAGCGGTATGGAAGCCCACAGGGTTCAGTCTTAGATATATATCACTTTCAAGATATGCAGTTTCATTGCCAAATTTCATAGAAAAGGAAACCCATTCTTTCAAGGGACACCGACATTCTAAACACATATTCCTCGGCAACCTTTAACAAAGTCCTCTTCTAGACTACACTTCTGCCTCCCATGCAGTCACTTCAGCACCTCTCCTCCCCATCTCAAGTTCCTTCTCCACACATTCCCCCTCCTCCTCATCCCTAAGCTTTTAGTACTTTATCATGTCCCAGTAAGAGATGGGATGTCTTCCTTGGGAGAGGGAGGAATGAGGCCAGCGAGATTCTAGCAAACCCAAGATGCTCTTAGGGAGGCTGCAGAAAGGGAATCCGGGAGCACCCAGCCCGTCTCAGTCCTGAAACTCCCCGCTCCGCCCAGACTAGATGTCAGAGCCAGAAGATCAGATCTGACTAAGGTTGGGAACAGTGTTTGAAAAGTCAGGATGGGTTTCAGGGATGGTAAATCGGCTGAAGAACTGCAGGCACTTACAGCAAAACTACTCTCACGTTATCTGATTTCTGACTTACCGCGTGTCCCACATACAGTTCACTCTCTCCCCTGAACACCAGCCTACACTTCTCCTCCATTTGTTACCAGCTCAGTAATCCCTGCCATTTCCCATTAAAATTTCATCCTTTCCTTTTATTGACATAAAACAACAACATAAAATGTCAGCACACAACCCTTCAGCTACCTGCAACTCAGTGCTGGACAGTCTCTTAAAGGAAGCAGAGCTTTGTACTTCATAGATTTAAAAAAGGATTAAAATGTAAATACTCCTCTGAGTGATCTAAAATAAACTCAAGTGAGTGGCAGATCTGATGGTCTTCTGAGTACGAATTTTCTTAGCAGAGACAAAGCTGAAGAACTGGGGAAGGAAAGAATCCCGAGGCAGTTTTCTTAGACTTGATGCTTTTTCTAGGGCTGAGTCTAGGAGGAACTCCCGACTTCTCTGTGGTGTGATGAGGTGAAGATCTGGTCAGGGTCACCCACGCAGCCATCTGTTTTCTGGAGTGAATGTTTTCATTTCCTGCCATGGATCCCAACTCAAAACTAAACTTCAACCCAGAACCTTATGCCACTGTGTTCACACGTGTTCTGAGGGATGTTATTGGATGTTATGAGAAAATGTAACCTACGGTCAAATAAATTTGGGGATTTAATGGACTAATATATAATTCAAGAGTGGAATAGAAAATACAGTGTCTCTCTAAGACAGCAGTTCTCAGGGTGTGGTCTGTATAACTCAGTGAACCAATATTTCCCAAATAATCTATGCACGATGTTACAGAATCATGCTTGCTTAAAAGACTCATTAAGGCACAAGACAGACTAATGGATTTTAATACAACAAAGTGCAAGAAGTGCCTTGATATGGTTTCAGGTTTTATATTGCAACAGAATACTACCATTTGTTGAGTTTGGGGATAACATTAAAGAAAAATATTCCAAATTTTCTAAAAAGGCTATAAAATATTTCTCCGTTTTCCTACTACTTATCTGTGTGAGGCCAAATTTTCTTCATATCCTCAACCAAACAACATATCACAAACAAAATGAGTAGAGAAGCAGCTGTGAAATAATAGTTGTCCAGACATGAAAGAGATTTGGAAAAAGAAAAACCAAGCAAACAAAAAGTCAAATGATGCCACTCTTATCTTTTAATTCAGGGAGAAAATACAGTTATTTTTCACACACAAAAAAATTTATGCTGACCCGTCAGGGGTTTATTGTTTTTGTTTTTTGTTTTGTTTTTGGGGGGAAGTAATTAGGTTTATTTCTTTCTTTATTTTCAGAGGAGGTACTGGGGATTGAACCCAGGACCTCATGCATGCTAAGCATGCGCTCTACCACTTGAGCTATCCCCCACCCCCTATTATTTTTGTTTTTAATAAATGAATACCTTTAAATTTCTCAGTTTGAATTTCTAATACAATAGAATTAGAAATTTCTAACACAGTAAGTATGACTAGATACTTACTGAATAGATAACCTACATTAACACTTTTGGGGATCCTCAATAATTTTTGAGAGAAAAGGGGTCTTCAGATCAGAAGTTTGAGATGCTGCCCTAATGTATTTTGATCATGGAAGCCTTTCTCTGCGGAACACCTTGAGTGTATCCATAGAACATATAATGGGAAACACAATCTCATGTTGTGCTTATAAAACACCTCTCTGTGCCTCTTCTCCCCAGACCTTCTTCAATAAGTTAATTCACATGCTGCTCAAAGGGTTTCATCTCACACAGTAGTTTTGAGCTTGTGACCCTGGCAGTAAATGCATATATTTCCTCTGGCAAACATGGTTGGATACCGAGCTCATCTCGTTAGAACAAGCCTTAACCTGCAGAATTATTTCACTGAGCAAATGCTACAGTCATGAGAAACAACGACACAGGTTAGGGTGTCCCAAGAACATAAAAGACATCATGCCAGCTAGAATCAGAGCCAATCTGGTTTACCATTCAGTTTCCAACAACAAGAGAATCACAGATTGAGGTGCTTATGTTACAAATTACTCTTATAAAACGGACAGGATGACAGCAACTGATTACTCTAAGTACTGGCAATTTGTGTTTATAAAAACTGTATGCAAGCCAAAAATAACCTAAGAACTGATTCATCTTTCTACCATGGCTTTTTAGAATACAGAATGAGGCCAAATCTCTACTTTCAGCGTGACTGGAAGCCCCAGTTCCAGAATTTGGTTATAAATCTCTCCTTCCTGTCAGGTAGCTCAGTGACTGGCCAGAAGCCTGATCTCGGATGGCTGTAAAAGATTTGGGAAAGAGTCAAAAGTGTAAAGTGCTGAACGACTATTCCATGCAAAACTCTCCCCAAGGAAACTCAGTCCTTATATAGAGCTGGCGTGGAGTACAGGCTGTTCAGTCCTCTAATTTTCATCCTGGAATTTGACCAAATAAGAGCAACAACCATTGAGTTTACTTACGCAGTTTTTTAAGTGTCTAGTTTATAAAAACATTGCTCAGAGATGACCCGGATCTCATCCTGAGAGCTGAAGGCATGCTTCTTGGTCTCTTTTTCTTCTAAGATTTGAAAGTTAATTAGCATATAATTTGCTTCCAGTAAAACTTTCTTTAATGAAAAGTTTTTACAGCCAGAAATGCTTACTGGTTTCAGGTCCCATTCTAGTTTGTTTAGCCCTCCCAACAACTCTATGAGATAGAGACTATAATTAGCCCCATTTTACAGATGAGGAAACAAGCTCAGTGTTCCCTGAGGCCACCCAGTTTACAGGTGGCAGACAGGACTGGAATCCGGGAGTGAGTCCCTCTGAAGCTCCAAACTGGGATGCTATCCAGCCTGAGATGCAGGAACAATAACATCAAATGACTTCCAATAAGAAGATACCCAATTCTGTGTGTACAATAGTGGTTTTAATCTCCAGATGAGCCATTATTTCAAAAAGTCTTCCTTACACTCCAGCGTGTTAGACTCCGTACTACTCTGCCCTCCTGTCACGCCGCCCGGTCCACAGACCATGTGGTATTTACCTGCTGACACTGCTGCCTTCATTCTGGCCTGTACTACATCCTCCCACCCAGGACCTGGAGCAGCAACCACTGAAGGAATGAGTGAAAGAACCAAGGAATGAACAAACAAAAGTGAATCTCCACAAATCTATTTAGTCACCGAGAACATTCATTTCCAAATGAGGTTCATGCACCCTGGACGGTGTGCAGAAAAAGCCCCAGCGGGATGAGGGGGAAAACATTAGCACTTGTCTACTTACTGGCACCTACCACCAGAATCAACATTGGCAGCCTCAGAGTCCTGCGCGTCCTGCGTGTGGCAGACAGCCACACAGGCACACCAGACACTCAGACCTAGCGCTGGCTTCCTCAGGCCCCAGGGTTAGCAGTGAGGCCCCCACCTGCTTGCTCGCTTTCCGTAGTCTGTACTTGATTGCAGTCAATATGGGCCCAATGTAGAAAGGGGCTGTCGAGATTACATTTTCAATTGTATCTAAACTAACCCTCCCTCACAAAATGGCCAAGTGGCTTGAATGAGTTCTGCACAGAACTGCAAAAACACATGCTAACAACAGTACAAGCACAAATAAACATAGAGCTGACAATATTTCTACCGTTTCTCGTATAATATTTTTCTCAGCCACGTCATAAGATATAACAAGAACAAGCTAATCACATCAGACATGAAATTGACCAACCCCCCCCAAACCTGAAAGTTTCAAAGCTTAGATTCATATCCACTATTTTCACCAATGGTCTCTGCCTAAGTGAACATTACACCTTGGGAAACTGGCTAATAATATTCTTATCATAAATGTATTTTTGTTAACAAAACTAAAAACGTGGAGCTCGCTGATATAGGAGTTTTCTACTCAGGGTGCCATCTGCACAGAAGCAGTACCAGTATCTCCCGGAAACTTGTTAGAAATGCAGTCTCAGGGTTCATCCCAGACCTACTGGATCAGAATTTGCATTTTAACAAGACCCCCAGGGGAGTCCTGGGCACAATTCTGTTTGAGAAGCACTCTTTTAGAACACACACCTTAAATGAGCTGAATCCTACTGGTTCAGCTCTTCGGTATAAGTTTAGAAAGATTTCTCTGTTGAATTTTGGGCCTCCTACGTTTTTCATTTTAATATCTGTTATCAAATGTTCTTCAAGACTATAGAGCAACCCTCCCCATAAACCAAAACTCCAGTGACATAATCTATGTTCAGCTGCAGCCTTAGCTTTCTCTTAATTCCAAGATACTTAAACGTTCAGACCCCGTGCAACAAAAACCATCCAGCCACATCTTCACCTTTTGGATCCCCACCTCCACTTACTTTTGTTTGATCGTCGGCTTTGAACACGTAGCAGATACTCTGCTGATGGGCTGCCTTGTCTTTAATCAGACAAGCAAAATAACTTGGGTCGTGACTGTTATGGATCAGTTTGTGAACGTGCTGAGGCTTACACTCGAAGATGCTGGAGCAGATCAGCGGGTCCCACTGTTGACTCTTCCCCGGCTCAGGCTCACATCTCAGTCCAGAGGGCGAAACAGCAAGGCGGACTTGCTTGGTACCAGGCTCCTTTCTGGAGGACTGCCCGCTGAGCCTCCGCACCTCCGCCACGACCCAAGGCAGCATGGGCATGGTGGTCAGAGAGTGCACCGCCAGGGAGCCCACCAGCTGGAGGCCGAAGTCCACCGAGGCCTCAGTAGGAAACAGATGTTTCCTCGCTGTGAACGTTATCGGTTCCATGTTGGGAAACTCGGCCAAACGCTGCCACTGTTTTCTATTCTAGACCAAGCTATCTATTTTACATGCTTCTGATGCAGAATCCTGCAGGGGAAAAACAGAGGTATTAGAATTTAATGAAGTCACCGCAATAGCTACTTTCGAAGAGTTATTATTTCAGAAGAGCTTAAGAGTCTGAAACCCAAATAGAGGAAGAAATGGATATTAGTTCAAATAAGCTGCTCGGCCGAGAGCTTCCTTGAAATTGTACTACATATAAAGCCTGAAAATGCTGTAAGTATCACACTCACTATGGGTTACAAAGGTTCCACCGGGTGGCTCCTGGTGAACGTTAAGTCTCTTAGAGTCAACAAGGGCAAGCCCCACAGATACAACAGGCTGCTGCTTGGACAGCTTTGTCCCCTGCTGTGTTATTTTACATGTATTTCGAGGAATTTTTTTTAAGATGATCAAATTCAGTACTTGTGGCTCCCCCCACCCCCGCCAAAAGTAATCTTCTGAGAAAAAGTATCAGCTGTCTGTCATCATAGTCTACTGAACCAGAGCAGTTTTCAACAACGGACCTTATCACTCCTGATACCACTTTAGATGTAAAAGGCTTTCCCCGTGACATAGCCAGAGGTTCTGAATCACGAATTCAAATGCCATTAATGTGTACTTGGCGACTATTATGTTCCAAACACCGTCATAAATACTGTTTTGTTTCACTCATGTATATGAATCATCATCTCAACACCTTGCCTCTCCTCATCGACAGAGGGCGTTGCCAGTACTAGACACACACTCACCTAGTGGGTAATCCTCCCTTCTATCTGGGTGACTTTCGACAACCACGTTTGATGTTTTCCACCGCCCTCCTGTTCCATCAATGGCAAAACCTTTCTGCCCAGAGCTGAGTTGGCTACAGGATCTCAGGCCCTAACCTGTACTCACTTGTTCCCTGGACCTTCATTCTCTCGTGTGTTCCCTGAGTGTATATATACACATGCTTCAAGAAGTTCTGTGAAGACAGGGCCTGCATCTTCTTTGTGAGTGTATCCCCAATGCCTGGCTTAGAACAGGCCCCATAAATATGATAAAGAGTGAATGAAGTCTCTCCCACCCCCGCAAAAAAAAAAAAGATATCTTCCCTTGACCTCAAACCTCCCCCGGCCCCAACTCTTCCTTCCCTGCACAACTGCCTTCCAGGTAAAGTCTACACTTGCCGTCTCCACTTCCTCCTGTCCCTCCACAATCTGGATTGTGACTAGAAGCAACGAGGAGCCACTGCAGTTGCTCCCGCAAAGGTCGCCCACATCCTCTGGTTGTGAAATCCAAACGGCGCTTTTTAGTCCTTAGCTGTCTTGTCTCTTCTGATCAGCTTCTCACCATGGACCACACCGTCCTGCTTGAGACTCTCCTGGTTCTCTTCTTACTGCTCTGGTTGCTTCTTTTCAGTTCCTTCTACCCCTGCTTGACTCTGTCCTCTCCCCTCATCCCACCTGCTCCCTTCGGACAATTTCACCTAGTCTCACGGTGTCAGCAACCACCTCTGATACTCCTGCTGCCACTGAGGACAGCTTCCATTTCACTGAGTGCCAGGCACTCTGCACCTGTTATCTCATTTCATCTTCATAACAACCTTCATCTCTAACCTCAGTGCCAGTTAGAGACTATTATTATTATTGCCATTTTTACGACCTAGGAAACTGAGGCCTTGAGAGCGGGAGTTGCTTGTCACAAGTGATTTGAGTTTTCACCTGATTCTCAAACTGCTCTCTTGAATGCTGCACAAGAATGCATCTACCACAAATGCCCTGATGATTCCCACCTGTCTGTCTCCTTCCTGAGCTCCAGGTTGGCAGAGACCATTAAATATTTCTATCTGGATCACCTATCCAGATAGCACCTCGGCCTCAATTTAGTCATTTTAAAACTCACTCAGTCTCACCTCCCTCCTCTCCAGAGGTTCTCTGCCTTCCTATGAGCTACATCTCCGGGAACAGTATCACTATTTATTTTATCGGCCAAGTCAAAAGCCAAGGAGTCCTTGCTGTAACTGAATGTTTGGTCTGATCTCCCTTCATTCATATGCTGGAATCCTAATCCCCAGTGTGATGGTATTTGGAGGTGGAGCCTCTGGGAGGTGGTTAGGTCACGAGGGTGGAACTCACATGCACAGGATTAATGCTCTTGTCAGAGAGACCCAGAGAGCCCACCTCCCCTCTACCACAAGAGCACACAGGGAAAAGGTGGCGGTCTATGAACCAGGAGGTCAGCCATCACAGATGCTGCCTCCGCCAGCACCTGGGTCCTGGACTTCCCACCCTCCAGAACTGTGAGAAATAAGTTTCCGTTGTTCATAAACTGCCCAGTATGGGGTATTCTGTGATATTCAGCAGCCCGAATGGACTAAGATAGTCACTCTGATGCCTTCCTCATCCTATCACTACTTCTAAACCGCTTTACATCTAAATAGAGCTTATCTTTCCTCAGCTGTAGAAAAAGTGGCCAACCTTCAATCCAGCCTTCACATATTTGCTAGAGTAATTCAACCCACACACAAAATTGATCATGTCACCCCTCTGCTAATATTCCTCAGTAACAGCCCCTATAAAATCTAAACTCTTGGCCGGGAGTAGGGGTCATAGAGCTCAAAGGTAGAGTGCGTGCTTAGCATGCATGAGGTCCTGTGTTCAATCCCCAGTACCTCCATTAAAAAAAAAAATCTAAACTCTTCTACACAGCGTATGTGATCTCTTCCGAATCTGGTCCTGTGTCTCTCACCAACTTCATATCTTTCATGCACCTTTCGGTTCTGGAGATGATAAGTAACTAGGTATTGTTCCCCATGTGAGATGTGATTTCTCATGCCTCTGTGCCACAGTGCATTCTGTTCCTCTCTGCTAGGAACACAGTGCCTGTCACAAACTGTAAAGGGCCTGCAACTATATCCTACTTGCAAGCTAACTAGTTAGTCAGCCACAAGTAAGCCTGGGGGTCAGAGACAAAGGACAATTTATTACTCAGAGCAATAGCAATTTGAGCTGGTTCCCTGACCCTCCGTTCCCACAGGCCAGATGACACCTGTATCCCCAGTGGGTTACATGAGAGGCACCTGAGTTTTAGAAGCCTGAATATTTCATACTGGGGAGTAAGCATGTCCATCCTTCACTCCAGAGAGAGATACTTTCTATCCTCCATGGCTGTTTGCTATCAGGAAAAAAAAGAAAAACAAATTGAAAAGGTAGTCCAGAACAAAGGCAGTCAGTGCCTCTGCTCAGAAAATGTGTAGAAACATGAAGTACCCAAGGAGAATCTCCCCATGACCCTCACTTTTGCCCTCTAACCTAATTCCAACTGATACACAAGTCCTAGTTCAAACAACTATCACCTCTTTCTTCCAAGGTGATGTAGGGCATCCATCACCACGTCCTCCTGCACTTTGTACCTAATCATCATATTTATTTTAAGAAAGTTTGAATAGGTGTCCCTCAACAAGTCTGTAAGCTTCGTAAACTCAAAAAGTTTAGGGTTTCTAAAATCAGTATTCAAATTCTAAATCTCTTTTGAACTAGAACTGAAGTCTATTTACTCTGTATTTTTCTAGATGATATACATGCATATGTGCTGAGTAAATTTTTATAATGTAATTTGAATGTAGTTAAGACCTAATTTTTTATTTTAAACGTTCAGAAGTTCAGAAATAAGCCCATACTGTATTTAGAGCACTAATGTATTTCATGAAAGTGTATTCCCTGTCTCTTTTCCTTTAAAGTGTAGCTTCTCTTGATGATGAAAACAGACTTGAAGTTCATATAACCCCATAAATGATGGGCTCTCTCTCTCGCTTTTTTCTTTCTCTCACCTACAGGTGAAAGTAGCATTAAATGTCTAGCTCAACTTCCACTCCTGTAACTGAATCTCTTTCAAGTTCTAACTGATGACAGCTGCTAATCCCAAGACATGTATAAAGAAGCACTAGAATTATTACAAAGGAAGACCCAAGATCTATCAATTAGTGTAGCTGAAAGCAGTTATTAATTTGGTGGCAACAAGTGTAGCAGAATTACTTTCAGTTTTCTTGTAAGGGAATATATACATAGTGCAAAAAAAATTACACAATTTAGTAACAATAAAACATAAGATGCATGAACCAAAAAAAAATTAAACAACTTAGTCATTTCGATCACTTGGTAAGTAATCAGTGATCAAATTAGTTTTGCCATTTCACTGACAAAACTAACTGAATGTCTCAAGTTTTCACTTTTCAACCAGCTGGGGTACATTTTAGTTTCTCTGTAAAAAGTAGATTGGACTTTAACACTGTTAACAAGCTATCAAATAATAAGTTCTACTTCAGAAATAGCCATCATTATTTATAAGCAATTCAGATTCTGCTGATGTAAGATCCATGGTAACTTAGACTAGGTGAGTAACTGTTCACATTACTGTTCAATAAAGAGTTCCATGAAACAGAAGAACTATTCACACAATACTAACAAACCATCAGGTTATTTCTTAAGCCGTCTCGATCCACATCATTTGCACAAAACCTGTGACCATCTTTAAGCCCCAGGTAGAACTACCTACCCCATCCCTCAGTATGAAATACTATGATCTGTTATTCCACTGGGCTTCTGGTCGTGTTCTCAACAGCAGACTCATTTGTGCCCAAGTCCTACCCCTTACAGAGACTGTCTGTATTCTACACAGCTCCTACCTACCACAGCCCACAAACATGGTAGGGCCCAAAACACAAAGGTACTTTTTTTTTTTTCTAGAACAGTTCCAATAACCTTGTCAATGAGACCTGCTATGCTATATAACTCTGGAAGCATGCACCTACAATTACAAAATTTTAAAGCTAGAAAGCTCCTTTCTAGCCACTCAGAAATTTCCCTCATACATGAAATGAGGAAACTGGAGAAATTAAATGGCTTGTCCAAGTTTGGTGACAGAATTAGGACAGTCCAAGCCCCTGACTCCCATCCAAGTGCTGCAGAGAATCTCAGTCTTCTTATGAAAACACTTTCGACTGTGAAGTTGAGAAACCAAGTTACTTCTCCAAATCTCAAGTTTATTCTTATAAGAGAATGGAACAAGA